AGGAATGCTTATGTGTGTTCACACTGTTGGGTAGCCTCCCGGACTCTTTATCCTTCAAAGCTGAAACTCTGTTCTCATTAACAGTGCCCCATTCCTGCCTAATCCCAGGGTGTTTGCTTTCCCTTTTTTTTTGCTAAGAGTATTAAATATGGCCTAAACTGCCAGTTAGGGTACTTTTTTTTCAGATTTCTTTTTACTCACAATATGAATGTTGGATTCCCAACTTCAGAATAGAGAGGACCATACAGTAATACTTAACACTTGCAAAGAGGTCAGGTTGGAATGTTGTCATTTACCGTAAGTGTTTGGTCTTTAAAAATCAGGTGCAGCAGTTTATTTCATACTGAAGTAGAGAAGTGTCCCAAATGCTTTTAGGGTAGGAGAATTCTGTGCGTGGTCTAGATTAAAGCTATAAGAGTGGATCACGAGGCATGAAGAGCTGTCAGTACTTGAGCAGGCAGCTTCTAAGGTGCTTATACTTTTATATTTATATTTACTTTGAAAGATGAAAATTTAGTTTTTTTATTTTCCCTTACTTTGTGGTGCTGGGGATGGAATCCAGGGCCTCATTCACACTAGGCAAGTGCTCTACCATTGAGCTACATCCCTAGTCCTAGCAGGGAAAGTTTTAAATGTGTCAAAAATGCAAGTCATTTTGAAATTTTTCTTTTCATTGGATGTTTGCCTGGTGTCGAAATGAAAAGTAAAATCAAAGCCTAGTTAGGTATCTTCCGTCAAGTTTTTAAGTTAGCTCTAACAACTATCTTTTGTCTGCAAAGACTTTTCAGCATCTCAGCCATCCCTTGGACAGACCTGAGGATGGAAAAGCCTTCTGCCTTTTATTCTTCAGGGGATTTGGAGACATGCTCAACCTGCAGGGTGGAGAAGGAGCAGGCCATGCCACAAAGCAGCAAAGATTTTAGTGTAGATTAGAAGATAACCTCACTTGCAGTGGGCATAGTTTTTATGGGCAGAGTATGGGTGAGATAAAAATTCTTAAAACATGTTAAATCAACTACACTAACCCCTCTGAAGTTTTCTATTACAGTGGGGAAAATCGAGGCTTTTTTTTTTGTTAAAGTCAGCAGTGTTAACATGGAGCTTTTAATTTCATAACAATGCATGATAATAAGGTACCATGCTTTCTTCATGGTAACTCACTAAGCTGATTGACAGTTGAGCAGTGCATCTTTACCTTCTTATGAGTTAGGTGTTGAAGCTCAGTGTGATTTTAGAAAACATACACAACCAGTAGAACCACAGTGATCACTGACCATGACTGACGTCTTGCTGTAACTAAATTAAGCACATCAGGTTTTGTCCTTCACCCCCATAGCATGTGCTTTTTCTTACGTTTTTTATTTTGGTGCATTGTAATAGGGCATCATGATGGGATTTGTTGTTACATGTTCATATATGCGTATAATATAACAATCTACTTTGACCAGTATCACTCCCCAGCACTTCGCCCCTTCCTCTGCACCTCTGCAGCATGTGCTTTTTGAGGCCGTGGTGTGAGAGGTTCCTCCCCTCCTGAAATGTGATGGCTCTGTAGAGCAGTCTTTTGATGTGTCAAATGGTTTTTCTGAGTTTCAAGTCATAGGCCATCTGCAGTTGGTGGCACTAGTGCTGTGTGGCAATTGACCAGGTCAGCAGGGAAAAGTGTGATCCTCGTCGTGTGTAACCACTGAGAGATGGACCACATATTTGCAAATTCTGTGGGCTGCCTTCACATGGAACAGCTGCTGCCAGGAATACCCAGCTTCCTTTGGCCTCCGGAAGCACTGGTGATTGTGTGGGGAAGGCATGCAGGACCGTGACTTCCAGGCTGTGTGTGGTCTAACTGGCACAGCTGCCACATTTTCAGCCTAAAACATAGGAAACTCTTCTTGGGCAAAGTATAGTGTGAATTACTGCAAATAGAAATAGTTGTAAGATCATTTGGGTGTTACATCTTCACCTTTGTCATCGTGCCCCCTGTCCCTATAGGAAAACTGCATCATCCACCCTGTGGAATGAGCAATAGTCTAAAAGATGCTGGTTGGTGAGGTTCGCCAACTATGAAGGGGTGAAATGATTGTGAGATTCTAGCAGAAATGAGCATTCCCTCAAAGAAAGCTTATGTTAATGACTAGAATTAGTGATTGCTTTATGTGTACATCAGTACATTAAGAAAAAAGGGCTCAGGCTGGGCATGGTGGCACATGCCTGTAATCCCAGCAGCTTGGGAGGCTGAGATGGGAGGATCACCAACTTAGCAAGGCCCTAAGCAATTTAGTGAGATTCTGTCTCAAAATAAAAAATAAAAAGGGGCTGGAATGTGGCTCAGTGATGACAAACCCCTGGGTTAGATCCCCAATACCAAGAAAAAGGTGGGGGGCTCAGTTCAGAATTTTACAACACTCATACAAATATGTTAGGAACAGGAGGTACAGAATATCCAAGGTAAAGGTGTATCTTAAAAAAAAAAAAAAGATTCATTAATGGTAAATGTATATCCTAATACTAAATTAAATGAAATATAGCAATGTAAAATTAGTCATCTTATTTCTGTTTATTTTTGCAGTGTTGGGGGTTGAACCAAGGACCAGGTACATGCTATAAATGAATCATTATATAAACCAGAGGTGTTAGTACATTCACAGTGTTATGCAACCGAAGTCTCTGTCTAGTTCCAAACTGTTTTCTTTAGCCCAGATGGAAACCCTCCATCCGTTCAGCAGTCACTCCCTGTTCCACTCTCTCCCATCCTTAGTAGCCACCAATCTTTCTATTTCAAGGGATTTGGCTTTTTTAACTTGGTATCATATTTTCAGGTCTCATTCACATTGTAGCATGTCCCAGACTTCATTCCTTTTTCTGGTAGAATAATATTCCATAGTTTGGATGTGCCACATCCTGTTTCTCCGTTGAACTCATGATGGGCATCTGGGCTGTTTCCTCCTCTTGGCTATTGTGAATCGTGCTGCTGTGAACAGGGGTGCCCAAGTAATTCTTTGAGTATCTGCTTTGAATGAATTCTTTTTTTATAAGCCTATAAGTAGAACTGTGCACACAGATGTGCCCCTGACACTCTGTAGAGTGGCATGGTGCATTTGCTCCATAAAAGGTGGTGGTGGCAGTTGTAGGACTCTGCTTGCACCCACATTTGATTTACTTCCTCCCTGTGTCAATTCTATAAGAAGAATTGCTATGGTAATATTATTTGTATTTGACTTTTTTGGGTTCAGATTATTTCCAAAATATGTTAGACTGTCTTATATTTGAAAAAGTTATATAGAACATATAATTTTTTACTTGATGTTCCTGGAAGTTACTATGACTATAAATTACTACAAATTGTTATAATATGGTTCTCAGCACGTTCGGACTTTCTGTCTAGATTTTCTTCTTTTGTTGTTGTTGTTGTTTTGGGTTTTTTTTTGGCATTTTGCTTTTTGCTCTATTGAATTGCTATACTTAATGAATGTGTTAAGAGAAGCCTCTGTAATTAGGTTGCTTGGATTCAAATATCATCTCTACCACTTACTGGCTCTGTGTCTGTGACTACAGAATTTTCTCCCTATGCCTCAGTTTCTTCATTTGAAAAAATAAATGCCACCAACCTCATAGAGTATTTTGAATATTTAAGGGCTTGCCCCCCACCACCCCCTGTGTGGTGTGCCAGGGCTGCCATAACATAGACCCACAGACTGGATGGCTTAAATAATTGATATTTATTTTCTTAAGAGTTCTGGAGGTCAGGATCTTCAAGATCAAGATGTCAGCAGGATTAATTTCCTGAAGCTTCCTTTCTTGGCTATGTTCTTGCTGCTGCATCTTTATGTGGCCCTTCCTCCAAGTGCATGCCCCTGTGTCTCTGTGTGTCCTAATTTCCTCTTATAAGGACACAGTCAGATTGGATTAGGAGCCCCTAATAGCCTATTTTTAAGTAATCTCCTTTTTAAAGGTTCTATCTTCAAATATGGTACCATTCTCAGGCACTGGGGTTGGAGCTTCAGCACATGAATTTGAGAGGGACATGGATGTGCCCCTAACACTCTGTAGAGCCCTTAGCATGGTGCTTTTGCTCCACAAAAGGTGGTGGTGGCAGTTTCAGGACTCTGCTTGCACCCACATTTGATTTTCTTCCTCCCTGTGTCTAGAAACCAGGTAACCAAACTGTCCTAGCATCTTGAGGAAGTACACTTCTCTATGGAAGGGACCCCAGGTAATAAGCTTTAGTGATCTTATAGCTTCTGTTTAGTTAATCTGAAATTCTTATTTAATTCCTGGCCTTGAGATTGTCCTAAAAAGGTGAGATTGGCAATTATCTAAGTTCCAGGTAAGTTATTTGGCACTTTGTGATGTACTGTGGTTACTGGAAGAAGGCCTAGCATTTTCCAAATGGTCTTGTCACTTTTTAAAAGCTGTGGCTTCCCCATGACATAAAATTTGCCATTTTGACTATTTTAAGTGCATATCCACATTGTTATGCTTCCAAATAACTACTGACACCTCCAGAACTTTTTCATCACCCTGGACAGAAGTCAGCACTCATTAAGTAGCTCTGCTTGCCCCCTCTCCCCCTACCCCATCCCCCTCTATTTTATTTTCTCCCTCCCTTACCATTTTAACCCTCCTGTAGGGGCCACCCCAGGAGCAGCCAACTGGAACCAGCTTCCTTTGCTCCAGGGAAGGGATTAGGATTAGGGAGACCACCCAGGCAGGGGCTTGGCCTGGCCCCTCACCATCCTCCCCTCTTATTTACCTTTCTCTGAAAGCCCACTTTGAAATGGCCCCACTCATTTGTGCAGAAGGTCAAAATTTGTACCAGAAAGGGTGGGGACAAGTTGATAGTGGGGAATAGGGGTCACCTTTCACTGTAGTGCATACCAGTGGGTCGTGCTGGCATGCGGATGTGGAACTGCTGTCAAACTTGCGCTGTTGGAGAGCAAGTCATCTGCCACGGCTCCCTGGGTGTAACTCCTGCATCCCTGTCCCCATCTCTGTGCTTGCAGACCTACATTGGCTCCATCATCGCCTCGGTGAACCCCTACCAGCCAATCGCTGGCCTGTACGAGCATGCCACCATGGAGCAGTACAGCAGGCGCCACCTGGGCGAGCTCCCTCCGCACATCTTCGCCATCGCCAACGAGTGCTACCGATGCCTGTGGAAGCGCCACGACAACCAGTGCGTCCTTATCAGGTAACGCGCAGGGCTAGTGCAGGCCGCCAGGGGGCGCGAGGGAGGAGGCGTGGGCTCTGGTCCTGGAGAAGGAGGGCTTTACCAGGATTGGCCCAGCTCACACCTGCTCTGAGACCTGGAGAAAGGCTTTTCTCACTACCTGATTTCTCAGATGGAGCTTTCTGTTTTGAGTAGTTTGGTGACTGCAGTTTTCAGAAAACATGCACTTAGAAGAGCTAACTTTGAAATCTTAAAAAAGCAGATGTACCATGTTGTTGGGCTCTTTGCTTAGAATTGCTCCTTTCACCTGTTCATTGTCATTTTCTCACTCCCTCACTCCCTGCCCGCAATTTGCCTTAATTGTTCTTTGGTTTGTTTCAGTTATGTGGCATGGTGCTGTCTGTTTAAGGAAATGCTGCATGGTTCTTCCAAATTTAAATGTTTTATGTATGCTAGTCAAAATGCCTGTGTCCTCAAAAAACCTTTCTGTTTTCTCTAGTCTAATATGATAAAATTACTCCAGATAGAATGTCCCAAATTTAAGACTTGAATAATCGGGTGCCTCTAATGTTTACCCCTAAATTATCTACAGAAATGGATTTAGTATGGATATGGCAAAAGAATGATGCAAGAACATGTTTATTTCAGTTTTTTTAGTAGTGAAAAAATGCACTTGTCATATCTATTTTAGACAACATCCAATTCATTTTGAAAAATAAAGAACCAGGAACCCCACCATCAAACCTTTATCACTAAGAACTGTCCAACAGTAGTAGAAAATATGTATTTTTTAAAAAAGATATTTCCTGGTTTTGCTGGGTGTAATTGTGCATGATTGTAATCCCAGCATTTTGGGAGGTTAAGGCATGAGGATCTCAAGTTCGAGGCCATCCTGGGCAACTTAGCAAGACCTTGTCTCCAAATAAAATTAAAATGGGTTGAGGGTGTAAGTTAGTGCCCAGAATGTGTAAGACCCGAGATTCAGTCTCCAGTACTGAAAAGAAAAAAGAAAATTCTTAATTTCCATTATTAATTAGTTCACATTGATCTCATCACATATATTTAGTGATGTCCTCTTTCATCTTCTTGTTAATTATTTAAATTGGAATTGTGTTCTGGTTGTGATCAGCACACCCCTGGATGATTGCCAAAGCAGATGTGATGAATGTTAGTTGTAGTGAGGTTTCCATGGACTATGCAAGCATTTCATTCATTTGTCTGTCTGGGTGTTTATTCATGGAACATGAGCATTACTGAGGAGTGATGGTCTAATAAAACTGCAAAAGTGAAAGATTTTGATATGTTTTAGGTGACTTTCCAGTCCCCACTTGTGGCACAGTAATTAATATTTTAAAAAGAAAAGGGTAGCTGGGCACAGTGGTGCCCACCTGTAATCCCAGCGGCTGAGGATCCTGAGGCAGGAGGATCACAAGTTCAGAGCCAGCCATAGCAATTTAATGAGGCACTAATCAACTAGTGAGATAGGGCTGGGGTGTGGCTCAATGAGATGTTTGCATTGGAGGAGGACAATAAGAAAACCATCCTGGCCCCCCACACTGATTTCCAATTAAATGGAAATAAGGCATAAGAAGACAGATGGAGAGCCATATGCCATCTTTAGAGTCCCAGCCAATTGGGCTTGCTAGCACTGTAGCCCAAAATTAGACCTACAGCAGACAGAAGCACCTGGTTGTGAATGGGTACAGCCAGGTAGCCGGTGACCACAGTTGTTATGAGAATCCAATTCCCAGATAGTGAGGAACAGATCGAACGGGTAAGTGTGCTCAGCCTTTCTCCCTAGTTCTCCCACCAGGGAAGCCACACCTACTGCTGGGGGGTGGGCAGGTGTGCCAGAGGAGCCTCTCCTCAAGATCCTCAAAACCCAGGCAAGGGAATGGAGAGTCGCCCTAACTGAAGGCGCCTGAGACACGTTGACACTGTCCCCTATGGTATCTAATTGAAGGTGAGGAAGAAATAATTGGCTATTTTTTTGAAGGATTATGGTGTGTTGGACACTGTGCCGGGAACTTTCCAGGTACCAGTGCATGGAACCCTTCCAGCAGCTTTTGATGTGGGCCCTCTGTGTGATACCTCCAGGAGCCATTCAGAAAGCGACTTTCAGGGGAGTGTTTTTAAGGGTGGTTTTGACCTGTTATTGTCCTTGTGGTGATTTCTTGTGTTTCTAACAGATGGGAATTACACACATGGGAACAACTGTGCTCATTCCCTGTTACTATTAACAATGTGTGCGTGTGAGTTGTAGACATTCATTTAACCTGATTTATTGTTGATCAAAGTGAAGCCACTTTCTTACAATAGAAACAGCTTTTAAGAATAACATGCCTAATAATATAACTTGACTGATAGTTCAGTAGAGGCACTATGTGCTTGTTTCTTAGATGACTATGTTAAAGTTTTGAAGTTAGAATTAAAGGTCATTATATCAGCATACAGTATATAATTTCATAAGATGAACAGAAAGAGAACCTAACCTGTTTTTAAGAATATCAAATTGTTAGTCCCACTTACATACCTAAATATTTCATGGATAATTGCTTGTATTTATTACTTCCAGTGGAAAAAAAAATGAGAGCATGACTAATATATCCCTTGCTAGACAGGGCAGTTTAGGAAGAAAGTGAGAAATCAAATGAGAGCCTTGTGCACGCACGCGCGCGCACGTTTGTGTGTGTGTGTGTGTGTAAATAAAATAAAAGGAGGTTGACATTTCTATTCCAAAGACCATAGTATTTAAAAATTAAGGGGGTGGGGGTGGGAAGTGAGTCTCAAACAGAAAGCTCTCATTATGTAAGGTTGATGAGAAAAGAATAACTGTATATTTAAATTAACTCAGGAAACAGACTTTAAGAATATAGTTCTCACTAAAATGTGTTTTGATTTTAACAGATCTTTCCAGCAGTCCTTTTTTCTTTTTAAGTTGGGTGTGGGGGTGTATGGAGCTGTGGAATTAAGAGAATAAAATTGAGTCTGAAAGTATAAATTGCTGGTTACAGGAGCCTATTTAGTGTTCCTTGGGTGTGATCTGCCCTCTGGTGGATAAAATGTGTTACTACTTTCAAAAGATTCTCTTGGTGCCTAGTGATGTTAAAATCAGAAAATATTTAATCCTTAGCCCAGAAATGAAAGAATAAATAAACAAATGAGTAAGAAGATAAGCCTCTTTGGATCTAGACAGGAGTTTATGGTCCAGTTTTTCATCCTGTGCCTGTGGTACAGGCCTTCAGGCCTCCACACTTATTCGTCTCATTTTTAAGACTGTCACCTCTCTTAACCTCTTCATTTTACTTTTGTGCATCCATTTAAGTGGAATCTTATGCTTTTATAGTTTTAAATGTAAAAATAAAACTTAATACATATGAACTTAAAACTCATTAGAATTTTTTTTTTTCTCATCTAATTAATAAGGTCAGCATTTGACCTTGGTTTATCTAGTACAGTTTTTCAGACATTGTGTTGGGCCATTAGGGTTTAGTTTATTATGGTCTTTTTATTATATATGACCTTTTAAGATAACAGAGAAGTACAAAGACAAAATTACAGCCAGTTAACTTGCATATCACATTGGCACTTATTCATGAGTTATGAATCAAGGCAGCCTCATTCTACAAAATAAATGAGAGATCCTGCTGGGAACTGACAGAGCAGAGGGTTTTGTAGGGTGGGAATCAGGAAAGAACCATGGAGAAGGGTCCGGGTGGTCAATATCGGGTTACCTTCTCGTAGGGGTTGAAGCCGAGTAGACTTTCTTATTGCACTGATTCAGGTAGACTGGAGTCTCCTGTTTTCAGAAAAAAAAAAAAAAAAAAAAAAAAAAAAAACTAATCTGGGGACTCAAAGCTTCAGTTTTGATTATGTGGCAATTAGCATAAGTGATTCCATTTTGGTTTGATCTGGTACATGGGGACTAGTGCAGGAACCCAGCCTAAACAATGGCTTCCCATCGTTTTTGTTTAACAGTGAATAGGCCTGAGGCCTGTTTCTGTTTGCAGCGAGGCACCCAGGAAAGGGTCTGGTAGAGGCCAGCTTTCAGCAAGATGAACAATCCAGAGTGACCATTGGTTTATGATCTTCACTTTCTCTTTTTCTTTTTTTTTTTTTTTTTTTTTTGGCTTGTTGGGGGTGGAGTTCAGAATGTGAGCAATTTCTGCTTAACTGTGTCTTTTATATCCTGGAATGATAATTGGGTGTTTGGTCTTTTTCTGTTTCTAGAAATGATGGCTTTGGAATGCTGAAGAAAACTTAGGTCCTGGATTGGAAAGGCACCAAGCAGAGCAGGGCATGGGTCAGGGCTCTTGCTCCTGTAATTCTGCAGCAGGAAATGGGGTGGGAAAGGCAGTGAAAGGGAGCTGAAGTCCATTGAGAAGACTCATTTGTGTGTAATGCTCTAAGGAACCTCGGGGGCAGTGTGTGGGGAAGCTGAGGCTGGCAACTCAGTTTGCAGAGGGACTTACTAAAGAGACTAGCTTTCAGCAGCAAACCCAAGACTTGAACTTAACTCTCTCTGACATAAGAGAATCCTACTGCTTGGTGTAGGGCCATGTCTTTAGGGTTTTGTTTTCTTTGCTAAGACTTTTAAACTTAATTCTTTAGACAGAAGAGATGTTTCCAAAGTCTTCTAACAAGATAGGAAGTGATCTGATTTATATTTTGAGAAAATCACGTGGCTCAGGAATTTGATTCACAGGAAGAGAAATGTTTGATTGTCAGATGCCAACAATAAGTAGGTGTAAGGTGTTTTAGTCAGCTTTTTCACTGCTGTGTCTTAAATACCCAACCAGAACAACTTTAGAGGAGGAAAAATTTGTTTGGGGGCTCATGGTTTCAGAGGTCTTAGTCCATAGAAGGCCATCTCCATTCCTCAGGGCTCAAGGTGAGGCAGAATATCATGGTGGAAGAGTGTGGTAGAGGGAAGTGGCTCACATGATGATCAGGAAGCAGAGACTCCATTTGCCAGATTCAAATATATACCCCATAGCCACACCCCAATGAACCATTCCCTC